AGTACCAGGCAGTTCTGGCCCCTTAGTCCTTAAGGAGCAAGGTGGTGCAAATAAAGTTTTTATGGTAGTATTTTCTGGGTCCAGAGAAGATGAAGTCAGATCAAGAACTGTTGCTCTCTACTGACTTTATAATGAATATTAGTACAAAGGTGAAGTATCTGCCAAGCAGCCTTCCTGGTGATCAGGAGTGTGAGAGAAGGACATTTTCTACAGCAGCTCCTAAAGTTAAGCTTGGAAATGAAAAACCTCATTACAGATAGCATTCCTTTTTCACACAGGACAGTGCATAACACTCCTGAAATAAAACTCAAGCTTCACATCCATCTATCTCAGTGTTGGCTGAGAGCTGAAAATGAAACCTCTGTCAGAGCCATTTCAACAGGTGTATGTTTTATGAGCACAACCACTGTCTCCATTTTCTAGTTTTATTCCAAAAGGAAAAGAGATAAGTCTCTCTTAAGAGGGCAGATAATGTGCCTCCTCTACTGTAAATTTTCAAATAAAATCTGAAGTATATCTGCATTGAGAAATGTAGCCCATTGATAATTACTATGATTCAGTAATTATCAGGTACCACTGTAATAATTGTTCTTATGTCAAGCAAATTAAGGTGATGTTTAAAACTCAAATGCCTTACTGGGCAATGTTTTTTTGTGTGTAATATAGCCTGCTTGTAGACAAACTTCTCATTTGCAAATGAGACTGAAACAGAATGCTCTTATTTTGTTTTAACATTTGTAAATAGAGAGATACTTTCTAGTTTCAAACTAGTTCCCATTGTAGCTTGTCAATGATTTACATATATATGTAGAGAGAGGAGATATATATGTAGAGAAGGAAATACAGATATGTAAATTTATAATTATTAGGAAAAAGAAAATTGTGACTTCTAATAGGTAAAAAAATGTTTAATGAATGTTTACAAGTGAATGCATGGTATCCCAGTCCTAAAGCAGAAATCCAGCCAAGCACTATGACTGTGTGCTTGTGCACATTTACTCTTATGACTACTGAGCATGACTGCACCTTCTGAATCATCTTTATCAAGTATTTTTGCCATTGTTGTTCCTCCTATGGGAATCATGTTTGTTCTGTCCTACTATACAACTCAACAGTAAATCAAACTCTAGATTGTAGGCTCTAATGGTTAAAAAAAAATCCCCCATTCCATTGAGAGAACAGATTCAGAAACATTTACTTCATTTTTCATATGTTAGACAAATTTATTATTATCATATGTAGAGGTCCTTTGATTTTTCAGAATAAATACCAGTGCTTTATAGGTGTGAAGTAAAAACTAAAGCAGTCTAGCAACTTCTCAGTGAGCTAGAATGTACCCTTCTTTTGAAAAATAGTGCCTACCTTGCTTTTTTATCTTAATTGTAGTTTATTTATAATATTATATTAGTTTCAGGGGTACAGCATAGTGATTTGATATTTTTATAAGTTACATTCCATTTAAAGTTATTATAAAATATTGGCTACAGTCCCTGTGCTATACAATATCCTTGTTGCTTCTTTTATATACGGTAATTTGTACCTCTTAATCCCCTTCCCCCTTCCCTCTCCCCACTGGTAACCACTAGCTTCTTCTCTGTATCTGTGAGTCTATTTCTGTTTTGTTATAATCATTCATTTTTTTATATTCTACATATAAATGAAAATATTCAGTATTTGTTTTTCTGTTTGACTTACTTCACTAAGCATTAACACCCTCCAGGTCCATCCATGTTTTTGCAAAGGGCAAGATTTCATTCTTTTTAAATGGTTGAATAATATTCCATTGTATATACATATACACCACATCTTCTTTATGCATTTATTTGTTGATGGCACTTAGGTTGCTTCCATATCTTGGCCATTGAAAATAAATGCCTAACTTTTTATAAATGGTATGAGAATGAAAATAAGGCAATAAGGAACCGCAGTTTACCATAATTGAGAAGAAATTTAGAAATGGAGAATGTCAATGTATAAATTAAAACAAATTCTTTCCTACTCTCCCCATCAAAAAGTGAAATTTAATTGCCCATCTGAGCTGGCTTTAGTGATTTCTTTGACCAGTAGAACATGTCAGAAATAGTGTTCTATGGCTGTGCCAGAAGAAGCCTTGGAGCTTCCACCTTGGTCTTGTAATGTCCCCTCTGGGAGTCTGAGCCTGCATGTAAGAAATTCAGGAATCCCCAAACTGCCACCCTGAAGAGGTCATGTGCAAGTGGTCCAGCTGACAGACTCAGATGAGTATGCTTTTCTAGGCATCTCCATCAAGATGCCAGACAGGAGCAGAGCTGTCTTGGGCCCTCCAGGACAGTCCTATCGGCCGAATTCTACCGAGTGATGTTTATGAAACCACATGGACAAGAAGGAGCACCCAGCCAAGTTCTGCCCAAATGTCTGATCACAGAAGTCATAAAAAATAATTAGTTGTGGCCTTAAGCCACTAAGTTAGTTGTAGGGTCTTTTGTTATGTGGCAACAGATGACTGGAACAGACCTCTCTACCAGAAACCAGAGTTGGTTCTAGAACAGAGCAGGTATCTGTGTGAATGACACCTCAGCCCTACTGCTTTTGACCTTCTATCCTCTGGGTGTGGCTGACTTCACTCCCAACAACTGGAGATACTAGTATCTAGGTACAAGGTAGGAGCTGGAATAGACTGCTAATTCTCCCTCTGAAAAAAATAATCATCACTGTTTAATTTTATGTGCTTTAAGTTCTCAGCTATTGCCCTTACTAGTTGTCCTTAAGCTAGAGCTGTGCTTCTGGCTTTCAGATCAGTGTCTGGATCTGGTTAGCTGCTGCCAGACACACTGATAATCTGGTTGAGAGCCCACATAAGACCCCCTCATAATTACCTTTCTCCTGCTCAGCCACTCTGATGGGTGTATGCACCGAAGCCAGAATACTGCTAAAATACATTAAGACAGAGAAGAAGCTAATCAACTTTCTTAGCCTGCCTGAGCTGCTGTGACCGAATACCATCGACTGGGTGGCTTAAACCACAAACATTTATAGCTCACAGTCCTGGAGTCTGGAAGTCTGAGATAGGGTGCAGGCACAGTTGGGTTCTGATGAGGGCCCGTTTCCTGGCTGGCACACAGCCACCTTCTGGCTGTGTGCTCAGAGGGCCTTTCCTAGATGCATGTGCATAGACAGAGAGCGAACTCTTTTCCTCTTATAAGCGTATGAATCCTCTCAAGAGGGTCAGGCCCTCATGACCTAGTCTAAATCTAATTACCTGCTGGAGCCCCTTCCTCCAAGTACCATCGCAAAGGAGGGTAAGGCCTCAGTATATGAATCTGGGGGATGCAGACAGTTAGTTAGTCTGTAACAGATGGTGTGTAGAAGAGTTAACACCACAGTCCTAAGACTGCTATCTTTAGAAAGGCCGTCTTGCAATGTTGGCCCTTGGCTGATGTTGGAGAACTAAGATTCTGGGATTGCTCCCACCAATCCCTAACTCATAAGAGGGACTCACTGGCCTAAACTGTTTGTGCAAACAATGAGGTTTGTGCTCAACAACTGCTTTCCCCCTGGGAGTCTGGAATTTGGGTATGTGCTTGGTGGAGGGTGCCCATGTGACCAGCCCCTAGTAAAAACCTTGGGCAGTGAGCCTCTGTTGAGCTTCCCAGGTAGACAGTATTTCACTCTTGTTGGCACAACTGGATGCTGGAGGAGTTAAGCATTTCCTGTGGGACTCCACTGGAAGAAGACTATTGGAAACATGCACCTAGTTTCCTCTGGACTTCACCCCATGTGCCTTTTCCCTTTGCTGATATTGCTTTGCATCTTTCCACTGTAATAAATCATTGACATGACCCACTATATGCTGAGTCCTCCTAGTGAATCCCTAGGCCTGTGGTAGTCTTAAGGACATCACACACAGATGGCAAATAGAGAACTAAGGAGAATCCCCCACCCATCCCTCCAGAACCAGTATTCCAAATGAAACTCTCTTGCTAAAATATTTTTATGATGTTTAATGAAAAGGGATTTGGATTTTCATTAATCAATACCAGTAACATGCAGGTTACTTCAGTGAGACTTTCTCCCCCAGTGACTTTGCAGCATCAGCTCTTAGCCAGCTCACCCTCCACCTCCATCTTGCCAGTTGTCACTCCTCATCCTTCATCTTGCTCCCTCAGCATCCTTTCCCGCAGTGGAACTCTCCTTGAAATACTTTCCTCAGCTTTTGAAGTACTACTGTTTCCTGATTTCCCTCTGACCCCTCTATCTACTCCTTTTTAGTCTTCTTCACTAGTTTCGTCTCCTATTTCAAATCTTCAAAAGTTAGAATGACTCGGTTCTGAGCTGCCTTCTGTTCTTTATTTAAACACTCTTCCGAGTTTCATGGCTTCTGGTCTTATGTCTTTAAATACCATGCATAAACCAATAACACTGAAGTTTATATCTCTAGCATTGAACTCTCCCTTGAGCTCCAGACTCTTATATAAAACCACTTAGGCTCTTTGCTTAGAAGCATAAAGGCTTTCAAATTTGAAATGCTCAGAGTAGAACTCCTGATTCTTTGTCCCAGGACTCCTATCTCTGTCCAAACCTCCTCTCTCTGTCTTCCTGTCTTGATAAATGCCATTTATCAATGACATTTAATATCTGCTCTGTCTCAAGCTACCAGCCATTTTTATTCTCAGTAATCAAGGTTTCACTCAAGAACATCACCAGATAGTTCTTTGGCTCCAGTGGGTTCATGTGTCTATACTGCACCCTAGTAATGCCTAATGGGGACTCTTTAAACCCGCACTCTTGAACTTTTGTGAGGACACCAGATTCTTTGAGAATTTTATAATTATACACCCTTTCAGGAAAATACATACACCTACATAAATAAAGCATTATATATAGTTTTATCCATTTATATATATATAATCTATCTATTGTATATTTTATCTATATATTATATATTTCTATAAATATATATAACATATATATTTTAATGGATATATAACATTCAATGCATTAAGACAAGATGCAGAGAAAGAATCAAAATCATGAGAGGATAGTTTAGGTATACTAGAGTAAACAAGTTAATTCCAAAAATCTCAGTGATTTTTTTTTTATTGTTTTGTTTGTTTTTTTCTTTTCTTTTCAATATAATGCATGCCCATCACTGTGTTTGGCACTTGCCTCTCACCCCACACCTTCCACTATCTAATTACAGTCTGCTCTAAGCCTAGTCTTAGCCAGTGGTATCTTCTGCCTGATTGGCAAGAGCCTTCTAGTGGTCCCCCTGCCTCCATTATTGGCCCTAATCATAATCATTTTTTGAATTACTATGGAGTGGGGGGTAAGCAAGTGAGTGCAGGAAGTAGACTGAATGAATGAGAATCTTGGACCTGACCTGACCTCTAACTAGTTCTGTCAATTTCCTTATCTTTAAAATGATGACCATAATAGCTTCTTTTATACAATCATTATGAGGATTACATACATTGATCTATGTAAACATAAAACATCTGACTAGCACCCAGTACAAGAAACACTCAGTGTTAGTAATTATTATTACTGCATTAGGGTTCTCCAGAAAAACAGAACCACTAGGATAGAGAGACATATAGTTAGAAGGAGATTTATTATAAGGAATTGACTCACGTGATTGTGGAGTCTGAGAAGTCCTAAGATCTTCAGTCAGCAGGCTGGACACCCAGGGGAGCCACTGGATAGCACCTAGTACAAGAAACACTCAGTGTTAGTCATTACTATGGTATAGCTCCAGTCCAAGTTCAAAGGCCTGAGCACTAGGCAACCTAATGGTCTAAACTGCAGTCTAGGTTCAAGGACCTGTGAGCCAGTCCTGTAAGTTCCAGTCTGAAAGCTCACAGGCTCAAGACCTAAGAGGAGCTAATTTTTAAGGCAGGAAAAGACTGATGTCCAAGCTCAAACATTCAGACAGGAGTTCCCTCTTACTTAGCCTTTTGTTTGTTTGTTTTATTCAGGTTTTCAATTGATTGGATGATTGCCATGCATATTAGGAAAGGAAATTGCTTTACTCAGTCTACCAATTCAAATGTTCATCTTATCCAAATATACTCCCACTGAACTCCCAGCACTGAACTCTCCCTCGACTAGATCATTAGGTGCCCCAGAATAATGTCTGACCAAATGTCTGGGCACCTAATGGTCTAGTCAGATTGCCGCATAAAGTTAACCATCACAATGACTATCACTAGTTCACTTGCAGCCTGAGTAAGCTTTTAAAAGTGTAAATCAGGTCACATCACTTCACTTCCTAATCCAAGTCCTCCAACAGTCTCCCACCACATTCCCTACACACACACACCTCTGACCCTGTAAGGGAGAGGATCCCGTCTACACTGCTATCACAGGCTCCTTCAGCCAGGTTCTTTCTAGGGAGATACCCCAGGCTTATCAGACGCTCCTCTACAAGGCCCCCACTTCAATGCCCATTGACACCCAGCTCAGAGAAATCACACCAAGCTTTCTGAGTTGCTTCTTTAAATCATTTCTCACTATGCTGAGGCGAGAAAAACAGCACCCCCCAGGGGACCACAGCACCTCCATGTTTCTCCAAATAAATCCTCTCTTAAGCCCTCAAATTCCCTAATTAAGTTCTTGGTCTTTATTTATATAGCCAGGAGGTGGATGATGTGTTGAGTTTCTGTACACTTGGGCAATTTATTTGCAATTTCTGCAGATAGTCTAGCACTTTACGATAGAATAAGGGGTCAGTTATCATATATTCTCCTGAGACCCCAACTAAAACTAATAAAGAAAGGGCCCCACTTTTTGTAATTTATTATATAAGCATTATCACATTTTTTCCAAAATGGATATTTTTCAGTATTACCAACAGTGTTTGAAATGTCCATGCTCACCAGCTTTGGATGCTTTTATTTGTAAACACTATACTTCATTAACAGTTAAAACACTAATAATAAAAATATTCCACTTTTATTTTTTACGTATGCATATAACCTCTTTAGGTAAAGTAGGTAAAGTGTTTACATATTTGCATGTAATTTAAAAGTATAATACGGATGAGATTAGACAATTTTTCATTTCTTTTATTGCTCGATAACTTACATTATTTTGTCTTTGGTTAAGAATCAAATGTTTATGTGCTGTATCCAGGTATGCTAGTCTTGGAATTCCTTTTGTGTGCATGAAATACATACATTTCCTTTGCAAAAAACTTCCTGAAATTTAGTTTCCATATTTTCTTTTTTAACCTATTTTTTAGTATTCAAGAATTATGGGGAGTGTGTGTAAAATTGTTTATCTTTTATTTTGATTTTATCCCATTATCTCTAATGTTAGCTATTATGCCATTCCTAACATTTGATATTTTTAATTTCTGTTTTCCTCTAATTTCTCTGTAATCTTTATATTCACCTCTTTCATTAATTTATATTTACTTGAAAAACACTGAAAAAGATCTTAAAAAATAAGCAGTTTTCCCAATATCATTTATTGAATAATCTTGTCCTTCCACAATTACCAAGTTTTTAATAATATGTGACTGTAAATGAAGCTAATCTGAGACTATTCTGCTCCATTGATTTGCCTGTTCATTTTTTTAACCATTATCAGTATTTAAACATTATTATTGCCTTATAAAATTTGGAAACCTTTGTCATTGACTTTTGGTATCACAGTTGACCCTGGAACAACACAGCTTTGAAATACATAGGTCCACTGATTCACAGCTTCTTTTCAGTAAATACATAAATGTACTATATACGTATTTTCTCTTCCTTATGATTTTTCTTGATAACATTTTTTCCCAGCTTACTTTATTGTAATAATAGAGTATATAATACATACAACATACAAAATACATGTTAATTGATTGTTTATGTTATTGGCAAGGCTTTTGGTCAACAGGAGTAAGCTAATAGTAGTTAAGTCTTTGGGGAGTCAAAGCTATAGGCAGGTTTTCAACTGTGCAGGGTGGGTGGCACCCCAGCGCCTCCACTGTTAAGAGGGTCAACTGTATAAAAATTAAAAACCTAGGATTATGTGTGTGTATGTGTGTAGAAATGGAATCAAAGTAATGTGCAGTGTGAAGAAGTCTAATTGATAGAATCAGTGTGTGGACTTTCCATGATTCTGTGTTTCAAACACTGATAAGGTCTTTGGAGACGGTTTTTCTTTAACTGATTAGAGCTCCCAACAGAGGAATTTCTTCCCTTTGTTGTCGATTATCTGTGAGCCTCTGAATGGAGAATCAGTAGCTGAATGCACTCAGAGACAGTCTTTATTTAAACTGTTTTCCTCCCCACCTCCCACCCCAACTCCAGTTAAAGAACTTGAAGAATTAGCTACATACCAGTAAGATTCTCTATGTTATGGTTAAAAGCTAAAAATTAAAGCCATGCTCTCTGTCAACACTCCTGGAATAATTTATAGAATAATTTACTGAAGCCTTTCAGGGAGGACTTGGAAAGTAGATGTAGCATGGCAATTCTGACTTTGAAGTATAAAATGGCAGGCTTGCTTTCCCAATCCTTTTATCTCCTGAGAGCTAAGAGTTAAGAGTAAACTCAGGCTCCTAAATAAGAGTAATTAAAACGGACAGCAGGAAACAGGAGGGAAAAATGAACAAATTGTTTAATTTGGATTTGGAGTACAGTTCTTTTTTGAAAAATAATCACTTCTCCCTTTAAATGAACACATCCAAATAGCCAGATTTTAATGTTGGTACAGGAAATGTTGGCTTAGTCCCAACTTCTCTATTAATAAAAAATGTGTAAAATTCAGGGTTTTTTTGCAATTTAAACACATTTTCACTGAGTCATCACTAATCATTTTGGCATCTTAGGAAGACTGAAAAACTGATGATAAAATGGAAAGTATTGGTATTAACTGCCAGATATTTGGGCCAATAGCTCTTGGTTCCTGGAAGTGATTTGATCCCAAGGCCTGAAGTCCTTGGTAATTAGCAGGAAAAGGGTGGCTGTGAGGGAGTTTTCTTACTCTTTCACTTTGTTTCTCTAATTATTTTCTTTAAGAGACCTGGAAATGTTCAAGTGATCTTTTTAGGTCCTCTGCAAAATAAGGATAGCTTTTGATGTATTAATGTATCAAAGTAAAGCTTATAACACACAGGGATAGTGCATATTAGTGAAACAAAATGTCTATCTTATATTTATTCCATTCTAAAGCATAAGATGCACCAGGGAAAGAGGACTTGCTTTTGCTAATATAGTTACTAACATCTTGATGACAGTGATCCCCAGAGGAAGCCAAGAATCCGAGTAGACGTGTATTTGTGGGTAAATCAGAGAGGAGGAGTAAGGAGGGGAATGTGTCGTGAAAGAAGGAGAAAAAGATAGGAAGAAGAGGTCATTTTAGATGCTTATGGGCAGAGATCTTGGCATAACCAAAGGGAAGCCAAGTAGGAAAAATGAGAAAGGTTTATACCATATACTAATTCTAACTGTATTCTTAATCATCTCTGTAGTAAGGGGGGAGTCCTTTTTGTAAGGGACTAAGTCCTTGTGCTTTGCTTTGCTTACTCTCTTAAGACAAAGTCAAAATTACATTTGGTGCAGGCACTACTTTCTTAGGGGTTAAGCCTGAACTTGCACGTAGAGGCACCGGTGGGTTTGGCTTTCAGAAGCATGTAACACAGCTCATGGTGGTAACTGACAAGCTGAGTTTAAAACACCTGTCCCTTCAATCAAAAAGTTAAACTAAACTGAATGTTTGTTGATGAAAATAATGTTGATTGACTAAACCTTTCCCACTTTAAAATTTTCCTCTGACAAACCAGAGGCAGTGTCGCCAGTGTCAGAGAGAATTGCACACGTGAAGCAGTAGTTTCAAGCTTTTCTCAAGAGAGGTGTCTTCCCAATTAAGGATGTAATACCAGCATGAGGGCAGCCAGTTCAAAGAACTCACACAATAGCCTTGGTTAAACTGACTCTCACGAACTTTTTACACAGAATTTCAACAGAAATAGCCCATATTCTCAGGTTTTGCCTAGTAGATAAGTCACAGGGGATAATTCTTTGTCTGAATTTATATTACCACTCCATCACTGTGCCGTCACACCTTTAATCTAGTTATTAGGGCACTGTATGAGCACTTTCCTGAAATATTTGTTTTTTTTTATAATAATACTGCAGATTTAGTTCATTTTCTGTATCACCAAAGAATCATCAGGGACCATGTAAGCCTCAGAGTTACTTATCTTGACATTTTTCATAACAAACAAATAAATGTCTAATTTGCAACATAGCCTCCTTTCTGTTCCATAAAAATCTGTTATTTCTTAGCTTATATAATAGCTTATTTAGGTTATATAATGATGCATCATGATCTTTCTTGGACAAACTGTAGTTTTATCATGATCACCAGCTACTTGTAACATGCTTATGAAAGGTTTTAGTTCAAATAGTACCAGTAAACCTGCTGTGTCTATCTACGATGAAAGATCAAATTTGGTTTCAAAATGGGACAGCAAAACAAAATCTGATACTGCTACAGAACATGTTTTAATTCACACCCGAAAACAGGAATGTAAAAAATGTTATGAAACATAAAATACTCTAAGCAAGTAGAAAACATCATGAAAAATACTTTTCAGAATTCCTCATGTTTTAATACAGAACTAATGCAGAGTTAAAGGCAGCATCAAAACCAGTTTTTAAAATAGATTATAGCTATTAAAATAAAAGATACATTAAATAGCTTTGCTAATG